GTACTTGGTAGAGTAGGGTTGAGGGTTGGACCTGACGATCTCAAAGGTGTTTTCCAACCTGACGATTCTAAGATTCTAAAGGAAAGAATATCAAGGAGACAAAGGAAGACGATGCTGAAAACATAATTACAGGACTCTATTCTTGCTAGAGGGATGAAAGTTTTGCAACGGAACTAACCTGGAACTTTCCTACTCATAGGGCCCATCAGCCTTGTATGCATAATACATACCTATGTTTATGCCTTTCTATACAGTTATTTGAAACATTGCCCACCTATAACTTTATAGTAAGAATAAATGTAAACATTTTTCATCTTTTGCTACAAGAAAAACTGTCGAATACATAAATTTATATAATGTTCTCCCTACATCAAGAACCGCAGCTCCAACTACGCAGGCCAAAGGGCTTCCTCCAAACGTATTAAAGTGAAGGTTTTGAGCCAAGGAACTTGCAATCTCTAGAAGCAAAAGAACAACACTAATTACTCTTACAGTTGTCTTATGTTTGCTAACACTACTTATCCACTTTAACTTAACCGTTCAGTTACATCTGCCGTGCTTCAACCCTGATTCTACCGGAGACAATGCAATAGGAAGAATTTATTTTGCTCCTGCAAGTAGTCTGTGCAAAATACGAGTATCTCAAAAAATTACAGTGTCCAGCAGATGCTAAACCCAGACTTTTTCTAAAAATGTCACACTCCTGCCATACACTGGCAGCTGTCCACTGAAACTGACATCTGCAAGTTTTCTTCACTAGATTCAGCCAGTCATTTGTACGAATCAAGCACCTGGTTAACGTGCTGCCTTATATACTCACAGTACACTGATTTGTAAAACGGTGAATTCAGTGAGGATTTCCAGGATCTATTACCAGCTCTACCAATGCCTCACAAGGTCATCCCTGCTTCAGTTATACAACCAACCCCAGTTAAATAAAGCTTTGCACTGGTATGGCACAGCACTTTGTAAAATAAGTGAGTCATGAGAGTCCGACTGATTTGTCAGAAGACAGACCGAGACGAAGATTTTTAAGAAAGCTCGGCTGTTTGAACACACATCTCTCCCCTAAGCAGTTACTGTATAGTGTATTCTGTAATTGCTCTATTTGAAGTCTTAGCAGAACAGAACGCTTATACCTTTTGTTGTAACAACAGCTGCCATTGGAAAGCCATTACCGATTCCTTTCGACAAAGTCACAATGTCAGGGACTACATCATGCGTTTGAAATCCCCAGTAATGGCTGCCCATCCGTCCAAATGCCGTCTGTACCTTTCAAAAGAAAAATCCCGAGAAATCCCCATCACTTTCTCACGTTTTACAGTATGGTTTCTTTTTCTTGTCTTGCTCTTGTTACTGACTTGCATTAAACTGCAACTACAGCTGGAGTCGACTCGTATTAGGACCCTTATTCGCACGGCTTTGCGCAAAATACTACTGATTGTAATCGGGTTTTTCTTTCTCATTTGAAAGAGATAACATGTCACCATGCCTTAGGCATGGCGAGATGCATAAATAAGCTGCAGCTTCCATTTCAAACTGGAGAGGAAATGCAGCTGCTTACCACATTTCAAAACCAACCCCATAATTGCTTATGTCTACTATTGCGACGCTTGAGCTACATACCACTGTCACTTTGAAGCATTTGCTACCATTTCAAAAAACAGCTGTAGCGAAGCAAATTCTATTTATAAAACATATTTGCAAAGGTGCAGCAACCAACTCCCTTCTAGAGTTTATGTATGCCAGTGACACTCAGAAAGGAAGCGTTACTGTGACAAATATCCCATCACAGCTGGCATTTGGTAGCTGTGTATTTGTGTAAATTTACTGCTCCCAAAAGGTAAGGGCTGAAGTCTGCTACTAACATTACCCGCGTCTAAAATCAGAACACCACATAGCAAAAGAGAGGCAGTAAAAACTGGGAGGCTCCTCTGCTCGCAAAGATGCACCGTGCTACACTCAAGCTATGAAATGTGCAGCATTTCATTTATGTTATTTCCAGGCTTCCAGTTTGCCTTCACTTTGATTCTTTTGAGATGACTTTCAGAGGTACCCCAAGCTGTAGAGCTCTTAGTAAATAAAAAACTCACTTCATCGGAAATACAAACGCCCCCTCTTTCCCGTACTAGCTGATAAGCTTCCTTTAAGAAACTTCTTGGGTACTGAACAGCTCCATTAACACCCTGCCAAGACAAAAGAGACAATGTCTTGAGGAACAGACACAGAAACAGGCCTTTCACTGTGTGACTATCCTACAAGAAGAAAAAATACCAGCAGCCCTCAGGTAATAGCAAGATTGTTGCCTCAAGTTTCTTGCTTCAGGAGTGGAACTGCTTCAAAAAGTTGCTGCTCAGGTCACTCATCCCCATCCCACAGGGCAGTTTGCTGTTCCATTAGTTGGGCGGATATAAATGTTTGTCAGGTCATACTGTAAAGTGGATCACTGTAAGACAGAGCCAATTAAAGACGAACTGCCAAAACAGGTACCTTGAAAACTCACACACTGAGACACCCAGAAACCGTGTTTCATGACAAAGTTAACCAGAGAATTCACACTCCTTGTCTGGCTAATTTGTTTAAAACATTGTTTCCTCAATTTCTGTTCACCTCGCCAGCTTTCACTTGCATCAGAAATTCCACTCTACACCAGGACTGCAACAGCTTCCTAGACTTAAGTATGCAATGGCTTAGAAGAAGCAAAACCAGAGAACAGCTCCAGTTTTCTCTGTGGTCACAATTTGCATCATTTTTTTCCTCGCCTTTCCTGTTCCCGGGATATACTCTCCATTCTTTCTATTTAAGAAACATGTATACAGCCGTTCTGAAACTAGGGTGAAGCACCAAGGGAATGAATCCTGCAGCCACCGCTTGCTGGAGAGGTGCTAAAAATACAGTGGACAACATGGCTGGGAAGAGGTGGAAGGAGGATTGAGATAACTAAAGTTTGCAGAAATAGTTAGGAGAAAAGCAGTATGAACTCTAGAAAGCATTAGAAACTAAACAATAGCATGCTGCACGCTATTTCAACGCAGCAAAACGTTGTATGTTTAATCATGATGCGCTAATTTAACTTCATGAGCAACATTCTAGCTCAATTGAAATCTGTGTCAAAAGCCAACATTTTAAGACAATGCACCCATTCAAATACTTCAAATATTTGAGGTGTTGAAAGCACCGAAAAAGGAATAAAAATCGGCGGAAGTCTGTAGGATGTAGCTAAAGAATACCAGATTTGAGCGTTGCACGCGATTTGTGCTACCACAATTGAGAAACGGCAAACTACTCACTTGAATTGGTTCAGCGATAAATCCAGCTATTGTCTTTGGCACTGAGGTATTCAGAGTATCTTTGAACTGTTCAAGGTACTGGTCATTTGCATGACACACGCCTGTTTACAGGGGAAATAGTTGAAAGCGAATTTACTTAAAATGACACAAAACTAGCTTCAAAACATGAAATTACACATCTAAGCAACAAGTATGATCTGACCGCACGGTAAATACCACCTTTCAAATACACAAGGAAAGGCTAAAGAAGAGAGTCCCTTATTTTCTCTTACACCATTTATACTCTAAGGAACGCCAGTTCCAAAACAGCAAGGCAAAGCTGCCAGACGGTAAGATGTTACACGTTACAGAGGTCAGTAAGCTACAGGTTAGCGAAAGTGTCCGTGAATCACCTGCATTAGCAGAAGGAATAAGCGGACACTTTCTCAGGGGCTAATAAACATCGGCATAAGACCTAAGGAATCGTTAGGCTAATGCAGGTATGACGATTTTCTGGAGAACAAAGCCAACTTATCAGTCCATACCGAAACAAAGAACAGAGCGATTAGTATAGCTAATGCTCCCATTCACTAGGTAGGGGAAAGCTAAAAAGAAAACATCCTGTTACGTATCCATGTGAATTAAAATACTAAAGAGCGTCTGCCGAAACATTGAACAAATTTACTGAAACTGCTGTTGACAGGCGAGCAGTAGAGGAGCTTTCACACTGGGCTGCGTGTGGAACGTTTTGTCTCATTTAAGACTTTTTGCCTATCACTGGCTTCAGGTTGTCCTTACTCTTCATACTATTCCAAAACAAAAGCTGGAGAGCGGTCAAAACTTCAGAAACAGCAGAAAACACCAATCAACATTGCTGTTCTTCCAGATGTGCCCAACTGAGTTCCACAGCTTCCGGAGCTGACCATGACAAATGCCGGAGACAAAGGCTGGGATTTTAAGAAGGAATCTGAGAACACGGGGTGTCACCTGCTCAAAATTCTTCTCAGTGGGAAGCAGGTTCCTGAGGTTCTCCGCAATATTTTCTTTGGTTGCCCTTGCAAATCCTACCCAGAGGCCTACCTTTCTCGAGAGGTAAACACAACCTATTTCCGCAGCCCTCTAGTATTCCCTAATCTAAAAGGTAAATACTTCCTGCCATTGACCAACCTTCAGAACAGCTGCATTTTCGAATGGTTTGCACAGGAGAATCTCTGCAATGGCTGCCTCCCCACGGGCCACGAAAAACATCTGGTAACATTGTCTGCCAAGCGTAAGAGAAATAGCTACAGATTTGATGACACCTCGCTAAGAGATGTTTTAATCATACTTAGGGATAACTAATGAAAGAAACGTTTTAAAGTCTGCTAAGAGTCAAAGGGCATACCTAGTTCAAGCAACTTGTCTGAAGAACACTGGGGGCATAACGACAAACCTACCCCTCAACAAATAGTGAACAGGCAGTTTTGGAACCGACAAGTTTAGACTATTCCAGCGATAGTCACTCAACTGATGATTTCCTTTATTCTGTTCTTTAAGTTAGCTAGCAGTTTTCCTTATCTAAGACCAACAGCAACATTTTCAGAGTTGCTGGTAGTACTTCAACCTTCCTAAGTACGACAAAAATCCGCAAAACACAGGGAGGCAAGCAGATTTAGTAGATTAAGTACAGGCTGGAAACTGGGGGCTCTAGCCTTCTAATCCTGACTGCTGACGAAACACCACGACTTCAGGCAACTCATTTATTGTGCCAGGTTGGGAGGCTGCTATGAAGGAGCCTTTCTATAGCCAGTGCTGCGGCTGAGCTATCACCAGTGCGGATCAGAGTAGCCAATGCCAGCCTCTAGTAGACAGAAAGTCACACCCATCTGCTCAAGGGCAGGGAGACAACGCATGGCCATTTACCCCCAGTGGATCTCCTTAACAGATGTGTCTCCTGTCTCCTCCTGAAAGGAGGGACACTGTAGGTTGGTTCTTCATTCCAGGGGAGGAACTACTTCAGACCAGCGTAAAGTAGCTTTGCACAGGTTTGCCAAAACAAACTTGAGAAAAGGGGTTCTCAGCGTTATTACTTTGCACCTCACATACACTTCCATGCAAGCACCAAGCACGACTAAAGAACTGTAAACCATGACCACTTGTGCTATGGCTGTCCTGACTCCAAATTAGCATAAGCAACTAAACGGAGAAGGAAAGGGGACTGGCTCTTCTTGTGCCTACACAGCAGGAACAGCTACACTGCAGTCCAGTTAGTGACCACAGCGCTTTGAGGGTAGAAAATGTACCAACTGTTGAAACATTCAGACAAAGTGTTAGTCACCCAGACTATTTAAAAAAAATAACAAAAATCTCACTGTTGAACAGCCAAAGCCATTGGCAACACCATGCTTATAAAGACCAACAGACGTCAATCCCAGCGTGTAGGGGCTGCCTCCATGGTATGCTCCTCTGTGCAGACAAACAAAGCACACGGACATCACTCATTTCCAAGAAGAGACTGTAGCAACATTAGTTCTGAGAAGGCATGCCTCCGAGATACAGCTTATCGGGGAAAACGTGCATTGTTAACACTCAAAACAAGAAGATTCCTACTGCCATTTTTTGCTCTGGTTTTGGAAGATCCACGACCGCCCAACTTCACTGGTCTCCTGAAATTTAAAACATTCAAGTTGTCAGCTAATGTTTGCACGGAGAAGAGAACAATGACTGCAACCAACAGCAATTCAGACAGTGCCTCGTGAAGTTCTGCCGGAGCACCTGAGCCCTACGGAGCAAACGCCTCTGTTCTTTGAACCTTGGGAACGGCTGCTCTCTCCAACAGATGCTGCCAATCGTTAAACTACATGGTTGTTTGCTGCCAGTTCTACATACAAATCCAAAGTTCGTTAATGAGAATACACAAGCGAGGTGGGTACCCAATGTTCTGCCGAACAGAACAACGGAAAAATACAGCTCTTCGTAACAAGGCCTTTTATTCTAATATTTGAGGCCACCTGGGTTGCATAGTAAAGAGAACTGCTTACACTGTTGCTTACCTAGCACTTACCCCTGCACCACCTCTGTCATTAAGCCAGAAGAACTGTTTGTGTACCTATGCCGTGAACCATGGTTCATGGATCCTGCAGAAAAATAAGGCAGCAAAACAAACAAACCAAAAAAATCCTTCCGCCAGGTTAGCTTTCAGCCAGGGCAGCTCCCTGCTGCAGTTCACTGCACCGCTAGTCCAGATGTACCTTTGTATCCCCGCAACGAGGGCTGCTGCAGGGGTGGAATGAAGGAAGAAAGCAATTGATGAAACCTGCTCTGGCGTGAAAGGAGGTCCACCAACGCACACCCTGAACACAGAGACTAGACCCTTTTTTGAGTAACAAAAACGAAAATTGCCGGTTGTGCTTTGTACGCAAACTAGTCCTAATATACTGTCTCGAATCTTCGTCTCCTGTTTTACTCCTCTTCGTCCAGCAAAACAATTTTACAGCATTTTCCCCAGCAGATCCGGGGCTAAAGGGTCCTCTACTATTTCTTGACTGGGACACAGACAGACTGATCACATACACAAAGGAGTTTTGTAAAGATCTATCACCATTACCTGAGAGCGATGATGTCGAAGTTACGAGTATATAGCCTTGCCATGAACATAGCCAAGTCATTGGCTTCTGACCCGCTGTTGGTTAGATAAACCACCTACAAGAGAAGGCTTACGGTCAGGACCACCACCCTCCTGTTCAGCATCAGACCATGTCACTGAAGACACATTACGAGTTATAAGCTGCCACTACCACGAGGTGACTTCACCGCAATAAACTTAGTGGTGCCCATACACTACGGATGAGAACTAAGATCAAGCTGATCTGCTCGGGGAGAGTACCGAAAAAATTGCTGAGTCTTTGGGCTTTCCTAAGGCGGAACAGAGATTCAAAGCAAAATGAAAGTGTCTGGGTCAAACCGAGCATGACTGACTGACAGAAACAACCTTCACACAGGTAAAGAGGGCTGTGCCATCTCCCTGCATGTGAGTTACTACGAGTGACAAAGACAGGCACAACGGTGGAACAGAAGAAGGGAGAGGAGTTTGCGTTTTGGGAGCAAACGAGGATTAAGGGGACATCCTGAATACAAGTCCTGACACTTGAAAACAGATCAAATTCTGGCGTCACCTCTTTTAAAGTTAATGTTCAGAAGTGATTGAGATTCTCCACTGCTTAAACTATGCAGACGCTTTAAATTTTTAATTTTTTTTACTTTCCTTCCATTTTCAAGATGGCAATAGCTTCACACTCCCCTGCTAGCCCAACTTCATTTTATCTCCAGTTTATTTTACCCAAAACCAATACTTGCCTTATTGTTTCTATGCATACGAAACACGACGTTTACGTGGTTTATTTATTTAAAGTCAGTAAAGCTCACCACACAAAGGACTGTCAAATACTTTTCCCTGGGAATTTTCATGACATCAAGCAAACTAGGGCTGGCTACATACGAGAACAGTTAGCACCACCTTAATTCCTGCGGTAATTTTAAAGTTGACAACGCCCCTTCACAGTGACAACTGGAGGGAGAGAACAAACAGAACAGGAGCTTGGGCTATCATGCTTGTCTACATCTGGGTCTAAAGAAAAGGCCTTAAGGGTCACCACGCTCTCCTCATCTGACAGCCTGTAGTCCCCAAACAGGTTTTCTCTCCACAGGTATCGTGGCTCTCGTTTATTTAATTTTTATATTAAATATTTCTTATGAACAGACACCCCCCTCACCAGCCCCTGCTGCTGTCAGAAGCAAAGTACCTTAAGTGGATCTGGAAGAAGGGAAGTCAACTTTTCAGCATACTCCTGGATTGACGGGTGCATGTAGATATTAGTGGTATGCCACAGGCGAGCAAGCTGCTTCTGGGTAGCCACGGTCACCTTCCTGCATGTAGCACAAGAAGAGACAAAGGGATTCAATTCTACACACACGCGCACTCACACAGGCACACACCTTCTTGTTATTGATTCTGAAAATGCAGACCCTATGCCATGTGCCAGATGGGTGAAAAAGTAGACAAAATTAATGCATTCTTCAAAACGTAGTGGAAATTGACCTTAATATAAGCGATACGTGACAATTTAGTGAACTGTATTCCGGTTTTAGGCTCACAGAGCAACGGATTAAGGAAGAACAAGACCAACATAGGTATCCCTTCCAGTATTTTATAGCACGAACCAAAGAGTAGCATACTTACGGATGGCAGTGACCAACACTGACAGTGACGATCCCAGCAAAGAGATCAAGGTATCTTCGTCCTTCATAATCAAACAACCACTGCATATGTCCTTGATGCAGCAGCAATGGCTTCTTGTAATACGTTCGCAGTGAAGGAGAAACATTTTGCTCACGAATTTTCTGCATGCGTTCATATGGATAGGACTGAGTGGAATAAAAAAGTCAGTATCCATTTATACTTTCTGAAGATCCAGACTAATGGACCTGTAGTGGATCACAGAGATTCCACAGCTCTCGACAGCAGTTGCTCACAGAACTAAGATTTCAACCAATTCTGGCACATAGAGGGTTCTCTACACCTCTGAAACACAGCTTTTGAAATAAGACTGATGCTCTGCGCATATCTCTTCCTTAAAGTTTTCCAAATCGACAGTTTAGCCATAAGTTACAGAACTGCCACCCAGGTATATCTGCAGGTTACATCCTGGTTACAACAGAACGATTTTTTTTCCCAAAGAAGCGAATTTTAGACTCATATTTAAGGCACCGACTGTTTATAGCAGACGAGCCTATCACGTAAATCTAGTCATGCAGCTTACTTCAATTCAGTGCAGTACGTGTGACTTACTTGGTATTTTTCAGGTACAAAATCACAAGGAGGCATTTTTGCTTGTGTGGAGGCGGAGCTTTTCCATTTCTGCTGCCTAAAGGCAACTACGGAACAGCAAGAGAATCATCAAACACTCATCAAAGTGCACGTCTGAAAGAATTTCTCAATAAGCTTGCTCAGAGAACACACAAGCTACAGTCAAAGTTTGGTTGGTATTTTTTTTTGTTGTCTGAGAGATTTTCTTGGGGCAAAAAAATGCAAATTTGGGGGGGGGGCAAAAAGATGCAAATGTAAATGCAAAAACCACGTAGTTTCGAAAAAAAGTGCTTTTCTCTTATCTGCTAAACCTCACTTTTCAGTTTCACGTGGACTTGTGTTTTGACAGAAGGAGACTCAAACAAAAAAATAAAAATCAGCTTCTAATAGGAATTCTTATCTGGGAGCAGGGAGAGCAGGAATCCTCCCCGAGGGCGTCAGCCAGGAGCCCAGGGTGACCGCTGCACAGGCAGTGCTCTCAGGGACCAGGGTACAGTCCCAACAGACTCAAACAAAGTGGGCAGAGCAGGGTCCACTGAGAACGCCCCGCGTAAGTGGAAGCGATGAGTCAGGTTCAGGGTCCACCCAGGCGGTCCAGTCAGGAGCAGCGGCAGATGGGGCCAGAGCCAGGGCTGGACACAAGGCTACGACACAGGTCCAGGAGGCCGGGCCGAAGGCTGGGCTGGTGTCAAGGCGATACTCAGGGCGCAGCTGGGGCAGGGGCTGAAGGCTCAGGGCTGAGCTGAAACGGGGCTCCTGGGCAGCGGGCACAGGCAGAGGCCCCGGGGGAGGCTGACCGGGGCAGACAAGGTGGGCGCAGGGCCCCAAGAGCTGTCACTGCCACCTTCCGTCCTCCTTCAAAACCCCTAAAACCACCACTGTCCTACCTTTCATTTAACTGGAAGTGTAATTCAGCAGGCATCAGAAAAAGTTATCGCTTGCATACCTTCTCTTTCTGCACCCCTAGCATTATCTGCGGAGAACTACACATTTAGTTTTAAACGCCTCGGGTTTTAACCGACTTCTAAAACACATTAAAATGTACATGAGTCAAGAATTTCCCAAAATAAGTTACACGCCCCGTCACCTCCCTTAGAACCACTTACGGCGCTAATGAATTTACAAGAGCCCGGTCCCAAACCGAAAAAGTTAAAAAACGTTAGGTTAGAGAAGTTCTGCCTTTGCACCTCCTTCCCAGGGGACCGACAGCTACACCCAGAGCGCTGCTTTCCCGGCCCCGTACAAACGCCGTGCTGCACCCAACACCCCCCTAGGAGCCGGCTTTCAGGGAGACGCGCCGACCCCCGCCCGGCCTCCCCCGTCCCC